ACTTTCGAATTGAGCTCTTCTATCAGTTGTGATAATCGCTGGCTAAAGACTCGGCTGAGGTGTCCTTCTACAGGCAATTGCGTGAATCTATCGATGCATGTAAGATTATATCTGTAGCCATTCGAAATCGGCAGTGATCCCATGATATCGATGAGTATATGTTTGAATCTAGTGTCTAGGGGAGAGAAAAACCCACTTCAGAGCTAGTATGACGATGTACTCTGACTTTTTGAAAATTCATGCATGCTTGTGTCCCAACTCACGTTTGTTCATATGAAGCGTTCGCTGATTAGCTTCACAGTGGCGTTTATTCCCAGATGCGATATATTGTGCATAATTTCGGATACCTTTTGTAACAGTGGTTTCGGGATGAACAGTCGCGGTCCGTCTGTTGACATATTGCATGTTACTTTCACGCTGAGTTGAACATCTTCAAGTATTAATAATGTATCATCGCATCTTAGCTTGCTTAATTCAATGGCTTAGCACGGGAACAAGGTCATATAAGTCGGTATGCTGATTGTCAATTTTATCACCTAATAATTGATAGAGGCGAAAATCATAACCAGTTGGATGGTTTTCATCTAGAAGAGTTATAACGTCTCATGATGAAAGCCAAGTTCCTTCGGAAGTCATGAGGCTGATGCCTCTTCTGAACGAATAAGTTTGGAAATGAAATAATCTATCTCCAAATAAATCTTTTCTATGAAATATGGAATAAATCTTCGATATTCGTTACTTTCATAATATATTATTACTGTGTTGTGTGCCACTTATATTGACTTAAGTAGTATATAATTCGGTTGTCCTCACCTTAGTTCTCTTTCACTACACTACACTACACTACAACAACAACGACTACTACTACAGTATAAATTATTAACTTCTACAATTATTCGGTGCTTAAATATGTTTTAGAAACAGGGATCTGAAGAAGCCAATGAAGTTTCAGATCTGATGATCGATGTATTGACCAAATGTTTACTCTTTTAATCAATAAATTATCGGTTGAAAATAGACTGCTCCTTAAAATAATCCATTGATCAATAATATATATGATTTTTGTCAGGTTCGTACCCGAGCGCTTAACCACTAGACCACTATGACGGGATTCAACGGTGTTAATGTCTAACCTCAACTAATCCACGACGTTGCGTCACCGTCATATGCTCACTAGTGAAGATCTCCAAGAGATATTCCCTGAAGTTCTAGTGAGAAGCCTTGAGAAGCGGAGTTCATCCAAATCTGTTGTGAGATAGTAAGTCACTGAAGACGATGGCGCAACTTCGTGGATTAGTTGAAGTTAGACATTAACACCGTTGGATACAGGCTCAGTGGTCTATTGGTTAAACGTTTGTGCGCGAGTTCGAATCTCGCGAGGCGCGATCATGGATGCGCCTTACTGAGAAGTCCTATATTATGGTGAAACGGCCATCCAGTGCTTGCAGGTTTTCCATAGTGATCTAGCTTCAATTGACTTATGAATCCAATTATTAAAAATGACTATAATATCCACAAAAACCTTTAGCAGATATATTTTTTTGTATCCCAATAAATAGAAAAACTGTAATTTCGGCGTTTCGTGACTTAATGTTGGTCACTTCTTCAGCGTAATTAAACAACCGAATTAAATTATCACAAGTTAAAATAGCACTATCTTAAAAATACATTAACTTTCTACTCAATGCTCAATTTATTTGAAACTACCAAGTTCAACCTTGATATTGATACTTATAATATATTGGTTAGTTTTTCAGCGATAGATTCCCTTCCAAAAGAGAGTTACAGTACTCAAAAGACAATTCTGTTTGATGAATATACTAAGAGAATATAGAATTGTTTAACTGTCTTAGGTAACAACGAAGGAGTACTAGTTTTGTTGAATGGTGGAATTCACACAAATATTTTGCCTTTGATTAACATATTTCAGAGTATTGCATTTTTTCTTACAGCCATCTATACCTTCCGTATACTGGAAGTCTTCCACAGTATTTGCCAGTCCATGAACCTTAACTGTTGAAATGAGGCTTCTTGATTGTGATTCACAAGCAATCCAAGATCTAACATTGAGAAAATTTCAAAATATAGGTAACGTGAGTCTATTTACTTTCCATCTACATTGAGATTCTCAATAGATTAAAAGCAAAACGTATTCAAGTGATTTAGATAGACAATAATGTTGCGCCTTCAACTTAGCTATTAAAGCAAATACAAAATCATGCTCAAGTAATGAACAATGAAGAATATGACAGTGAATAATAAAAAGTATCCATTGAATTATCCATTTCAAATATTCATTTTCAGCAAGATTATGTATTGTATGAGTAATTGATCTGAAATAATGATGAAAAATAGGTATCTTGTGTATGCGCATGATAGTTGATACTATACTGGACAACTTGGATCACGTGGCACCCAGATATACAATTCTCGACCAATAATAAAGAACCAGACCATAGTAACTATAATTTATGCGCCTGAAGTATATATGATTGACTATTATTTAATGAATCAATCTTTTACATAACCTGCTTCGGTTTGGGCCCCTAGCCAGTATACTAGTCCTCACACAAACTGATTGCTTTGTGTAGTGCATATATACTTGCTGACTCCTTGTAATAATGTTTGTGTCTAAATAAGGAAATTGTTATAGCGTGTGGACTGCAGATTAGAGCGCAGCGAATTATCGATCGGACCAAAGACGCATAAACGCGTGAGAACAACCTAGAGTCCTGATTGGTCCTGTTTCCCTGTCTAGCCCAGCCAGTTTAGTCCATAACACAGATCTCAGCCTCTGCAATATAAATCCTTATATTTCAAACTTACTGAGTTTATATACCAAACAAACCGATCACAACGTACCAATAAAATATGAAACAACATTTGTACAAGAATTAGCCAGATGTGGCTGTGAATGAGGGAGGTAGCGATTAACAGACAGGGAATAATTCATGAATGGTAAATCGTATAATAATAGTTTATAGGTCAAAATAAAGCTCATAATAAGAGGGCCATGAATATGAGCAGTTTAGTTACATAACAATTATACGATAAAAATATACTCATAATATTGGTTCATAAATGGATCCCAAAAATTACCATTCATTATTCCTATCGGGATACAACAGAAATCTTTTAGATATGACGATAATCTACATATTTCTAACTGCAGAGTGGGTATATCTTTCTTCATTCAGTAAACATACAAGACCCAGTATCAGTATCCCTGTAATCAATTAAGTAAACTGAAAACAGTTGAGATTCGAATTTGTAATCGAATATTTTAAAGTTTATTGCATTACCAAGTTCAGCCACTGTTTTACTGTGAATGTATGATAGTTGCTTGCTAGACACTCACTAACAGAGGAAGATCATTGTAGATGTGGTTATTATAAGAAGTACAAATGGTTGGAGTTGGATTTGGTACACTATCGAGTAAATTATTGAATTGTCTAATGAGTAATTTAGTAGTCATGAATAAATCAGTATTTACTGATGTAACACAGAAGAATCCTTGAAAATACTAAATTTTGTAAATCGAAATAGGTTTACAATAATGTACAAATTAACCATGACTACATTGAAATATCATAAGTAGTCACGTACTAAACGCTTAAATTGCAATATACTCAAAAATAATAATAGCACCCACTGTTACAGTCAATTATGTATGGGCTATAAACATTATTCAACGACATTAAATGAACAATTTCAACTTTATGATTCATAGTTAAATATTGAAACCCCCTAAATAGGTAATTTACAATTCCACTACTACGAGAAATAAATTAGTGCGATTAATGCTTTTTTTTTAGAAGCTACGACTAAGTCGAGTAATTAAGCGTTTATAAAACTGAGTTTTATAGCTGTTTGAACTTCTAAGAAAATTCAGCCCCCGAATGCTCTGTTATGGCTGAGTTCAGCCTTACTCTCGAAACGCTCTCACATGGTCACGTGCATACAACCACTGCTACGGAAGTCCTACTCACACCAGGAGTGTTGTTTACGAAATTGAGAGGACGAAAGCAAACATTCAGCGCTCCAACCAAGTTGGTTGGTCACGGAGAGTCCACTTAAGGGAGTTAGAAAACCCTGATTCTAAACCAATGATCCACATGAATTAGCTCCAGGATCCTGAGGGAACAAGTGAAGTATGAACCAATCGTTTAGTCATCGGCTAGTATGGGACTGTATCTCCTGACGTTGTTCCACTACCTTGTGGATTAGATTTTTAAGTCGAAAACTCCGGATGTGAATGACTCTTTATGAAAATCACCTCCTTCGGTTTAGGAATCCGAGTAATATCATAGCTCATACACAAATCAAGTGGTTGATTATGAAAATAGTGGTCTTGAGTGCTGTTAGAGGTATGAGGCCGGTTATCACTTTCCGGTTGCCCACACCGTGGAACGGTTCTTCTGGATGTACCTGAAAATGAGCTTGGATTGGAGGTGGTCTTAGTGACCTGGGCGCGTGACCGCAGTGCCCAAGGGACAATTGCTCAAGGTCGGTCACACACGACCTTTTATGGGTAATTTTTGTGTTAGCTCCGTACATGTTGAGACCTTACCGCCGGAGGCGGATATCCGTGGGATAAGGCAGTGTGTGCATTTTTAGAGTCGACCTATTCTAACCCCACCCCTCCTTGTCTAAAGGAAACACCTTACTGCTGTCACACCTCTATACAATCAGCAGTACGACTCCGCTTTCGGACCTTCGGTTTGTTGCTTTTAGTCTTACGGCTCTTCAATCGACCTGTCTTACATGGTAGGACCTTGAGGAACAGTTGTTCCAGCTAGTATAGCTCCGTTGCTTCATCACGATAGGCAAGCCCGACCACCACGTCAAGGTAGCAACAACGGTCGGGACAAATCATGTGACTTATATGTGATGTATATCTATTTAAAGTGCCTCTTTGTATCAACATTTATATATTCCAAATAAATATACTCAACCTAGTGCATCATCATTAAACAGTTATTACACAGTAAAATAACCTCAGCTATTTGTTTACAACTTGAAGTAAACATGGCACAAGAACTTTGTAAGTAAATATATATATATATATATATATTTGTATATCAGTTATTCGAATACAAATGATTACACAAATATATGCAATGAATGTTGGTCTGTAGCAAAATGATATAGAAGAAGAAGAAGAAGAAGAAGAAGAAGAAGAAGAAGAAGAGGTTAGAATACACATAATCAACAATCACATTTATTCTTATAGACTTACTATTTATTTATTCATACCACCTTTTTTTTATTATCTCATAACAAAATGGTACACATGGTGAATTAAAGATAGAAATTGATCAAATAATACTAAAGAATAATAAATAGACAAATTGAAACTTCATTCACAAAAAACAAAAAAAAATTAGACAAGATCACATAGATTCAGAACAGACAATAATCACCATTCTCTTTAATCAATCAATCAATGATACATGTTAAAGAGAAATGTGAGAGAGAGAGAGTGAGAGTGAGAGACCTGAGAAACAACATTCCTATTAAAAGTCATAATAATATAAATCATGTATATATAGATACTTTGATACTTATGACTAGGTTATCAATGTTTGCACAAGTATACGTGAACTCTTGATGAGTTCAAGTTAAATCAAATAATAAAGTTGGGGGGGGGGGAAACGGTAATGAACAAACAAAACAAACATTAATTTCTATTCAAGATTATCGGAAGCTAAAAATATTACTCATTTCTACTTAGTAATATAGTACTTTAAATACGAAACAAGTAAAACAAACCAACCAAAAAAGGTGTAAAACAATAAACTGGAATACTGAGTTAAAGTGAAATCTTACTTTTCTTCTTTCTTTGTTGTTGTTGATGCTTATGTTAGACAAAAAAACGGGGGTGGGTGAGGAAGGGAGGAGGGTGGAAAAAGGGTAAGAGATAATACAAATGTGTCGAATGATTAGAACAACACGAACAAGAAGAAGATTGAAAGGCCATAGTAAAAAACAAAAACAATGAAAAGAACATTCATTGTACAACAATAACAACAATAACAATGAACATCTTTGAAACAAATACAAGATAAACTGATGATTTAACTAAGTAAACACTGAAGAGTTTCAGAGAAACTGACATCTCAACAGTTCGCTATATCTGTGGGGGAAAAAAACAACTGAAGCATATACTCTATACTATATGTTTGTATTTTTTTTACATTCACAAGTGTGTGTGTGTGTGCCAAAAAACTGCTGAGACCGGGATACTTAGCCAATAATAATAATTTTTTTTAGAAAAAAAAATCATTGTTCTTCTTGTAAACCTTAGCTGTCAGGTTGAGTTTTTAAATATTCATCTGGACGACGATGTTGTTCAAGAGCACGTATAGTAGTTTGACTATGAGGAAGCTCTGATTTTCGTTGAATCATAGGAAGTTTATCACGACGTCGTTCATTGATTATACCACGAAGTTCCGTCTGAAAAATAAAATAGATAAGCGATAAATCTATGTTTACTCGTACTTTTTTATATAATTGCTCAGATTAATTGTTTGGTGTAAATTAAATAAGGGTTAGACGCAGGGTATTAGAGAATAATGGTAAATCAGTAGGTGAGGTTGTGTATCTTCATCAACTAAGATTGTTGAGCCACGTGTTACGTATGGCTGAAAACCAAATACCACGACGCGCGATGCTGACTACTGTTGGAAACAGTTAGAAGAAAGTTAGGGGCGGCCAAACCTAAACGTGGCATCAGTGCTTGCAGTCACTAACTTCTAATCTGAGCCATATTGATAGATGCAGACTACTTGGTTGGAGTCCGCGTGACTATCGTAACCAATGGTTGGGACTCTGAGTGACATGGCTCAGAATCGATCACAATGGCGTCGGTGTATACACTCTTTGTCTTCCCTTACACTATGAAATTAAAATCGCTTCATATCTTTCTTTCTATGGACTAATTCTTTCTTCCTATACTATGTCCTTATATGCGATCCTTATTTTATATATTACTACCATTGAATTAACTACTATGAATCCAGTGTTCATGTTGTTGTGCTAATGAGGTTTGGCAACTTGGACCGATGCCTGGTCCTATGCTGTAGCTGACTGACAAATAAATTAAGTATTAAAACATCTAGTGATTACGGAAAGAAATTTTACGTCGGGATCCCGTATACCTACTACGCCTTTATAATCAGATTCTATCACCAGACCTCATGCAGCGTGGCTGAAAGCTGAATAAAGAAATCTGTACTTCGTGAACAAGTTACAATTTGACCTAATAAGTCGTTGAATCAATGTTTTTTATTTACAACTGTGGGAAAGTCTCATTGTGATAAACTATCTACGTTAACTTTTTAATTGGCATCACATAAATCAATCTAAAAGTTGTATAAAAACCTCAATCATTTCGAAGTAATGGGGATTCGTAGATCGAACGTATACTTCCGGTAGTATTGGATTTTGTTTTTGTTATAACTAACACAATTAGAGCCTTTATGATAATTTCATCCTTCAACCTAAGAAAACAAATATGAAACTCATTCTTAGTTTAAGTATATTTTCTAGAAGATCATTTATAAACTATGGATAACATTTGTTGTCTGTGTATGATTCCAAGCAACTCTAGGTTGCATCTCATCATTTTTTCAGCAATTCAGAAGACTCTCCCGGTCTTACACATTGTACGAACACTTCATGTACCTAAATTAATGGATGCGCTGGTTTTCAGAAGAGGCATCAGTCTCGTGACTTTCGAAGAAACTCGGCTTTCACTATGAGGCGTCATTACTCGCCTAAATGAAGACCTCCTAACTCCCAGGACAGAGTTTAAATGCTTTAAATTATTTTTTTCTGGTCAGCGTTTTCTACGGGATGGGGTCGCTAACCCTAAGCCCAACCCTCCTTCTTTATCCGGGCTTGTGACCGGCAGTAGCCCCAGAGGTGCTCAGGTGGTTTCACTTCCTCAAATCAACCACAGTTAAAATGTCAAATATTACAGGAGTCTTGAAATTAGTAGCTCAACCGATTAGTGCACCAGACTTAATAAATATGATTTGCAGATAATTTTAAAACTGATTAAATGTCAGCGTTATAATCTTCTGTAGTATCTAATGTAATGCATTAAATTCTATTCTACATACATCATCCTCCGCTTCACGTTGAAGATTCATCAATGAACCGCTAACGTCTTCATCTGCACCAAGAGGACCGTCATCATTTTCAGTGTTACTTGTAGATGGAGTCCCATTATTTACACAATGGTCACCCATGGGAGATGGTGATGAAATGGAATTAGGAGCAACTGAATTTGGCAATTCTCTATTTGAAACTGATGCTTCTTTCATAACCACAGCGTACAATGGATTGCCTTTGGCAGTTTCACTTAATGTAGCCCATACACGTTCCCGACGTTTAGCTTCTTCTCTACTTCTGAAATACAAAAAAATGTTTAACAACATTAAAGCATTACAAAATTACTGGACGATGTCCAAAGGGTTAATTATAAGAAGGTTTATAACCATAGAAAGAAGCATAATGCTTCGAATCAAAGTAAAATAAAAAAATATGTAACATTTGACGCAAATAAGTAAACAACATATAGACAGGCTCAAACATTGAATAAGTGAGTAAATTGATTGAGATCATGAATTAATTGGTATTAGACCACCATTGAAAACCTGGAAGCACTGGATGGCCGTTTCGTCCTGGTACGGGACTCATCAGCAGTGCACATCCACGAGCCCGCTCGCGGGATTCGAACCCAGGGTGAGGTCGTGGATGTGTTTTGATGAGGAGTCCCGTACTAGGACGAAATGGCCGTCCAATGCTTCCAGGTTTTCAACGGTGGTCTAATATCAATCGGTCTATGATCTCAATCAAAAACATAATAATCTCCACAACCCCGTGCTGATAAGTGAGTAATTCACTATGAAACACACATGACTACTGAGAATATAATGGTAACTTTATTATCTTGTATATTTCTGTTAGCGATTTAAATATCCATAGGTTTCTAGTGCCATTTCGATTAGGATTGTGTAGATCCTTGTTTATTTAACGTATTGTCTTTTATTATTCGCCTATAATGTGAAGAACATTGGGAAAGTAACTTTAAAATTATTATATATTTTTATCGTAACTAACTACTAAATAATTCGGGTTATTGTATCTTTGTATTTCTCCATTTGTAATCTTTCATTTAGTGCATAAACCATTGTTGTATGTTACGGCTTTCTCAAGTTCTCGTCCAGTTTATGGCGGCATTCCATCAATGCTGTAATTTCTTACTCTATGATGCACGATCTCAATTATATATAATCAAAGTGTACTTTGTTGTGTACTATTCTGGTTATCGGCAAACGAGCGCGTGAAAACTGCCTCCTGAACAAACAGGTGTCTAGTATTGATCTATACCATCATATCACTGTTTTTTTCTTTGAGTCGGTGTGTTCCGATATAAAACCATTAAAAATAATAATGATCATGATAATAAATAATCTAGGTGGATAATTCAATACTTCAATTATATAACACAGCTTATAGTACACAGTTCGAACACACGCGCTCATGTACAATTTAAGAAAATTATTCTCTTTGATATCACATAAGAATCTGACAAGGAAACGCTAAAGTTATGACCTAGATGTAAATTATTCATAGTGTGATTTGGGATAAATTCGTCGCGTTCCATGTTAGTACCGTGAGTGGGAACTCGATAAATCACTCCTTACTCTTGAAACGTTAAGTTTGAGTGCGATCCGATTCTATGCTAGTCGATAACTGAATTACGTTTGTACGTCAGTTGTTCCGTTGTTATTATATGTGGATCATTATTTGTTTAGAGTCACAGTACTTTCCAACTATCTCAGATGGAGCTTTGTATAATAGTGTTGAAGGGACTCATGATATCAAGATACAGAGTCTTATAGTTTGTTGACTGAGTCAACCATGTTTAGTTATTATTTATCGTACAATAAAAAAAGAAGAAATAACTAACTTTTGTCTCTCTTCTTTATATCGTTGTGTACAATTATCAAAAAGTTTTTGATTCATTTCCATGAATAATTTAAGAGCATTGTATACAAGACCATGAATTGTTCTGGAGAAAAAAAGTAACAACATATATCATAGATGACAGCAGCATGTATTTACAATTGATTGATCACTGGGTGATGAACAATGTCATGTATATCAGGTTCTTCTTAGTACAGATCGAATCCTATTGACCAGTCTAGGTGACTCCACATTGCGTGTACTATGTTGAGATAAGATGGTGGTTGGCGGTAGTCAACAGGAAACCCTGTACATAGGTTTCGTGCTACTTGACACTCGTCAGCAAGATGTACCTGTAATGTTGAGGGAACTGATGCTCCCTGACGGATTCGATGCCGTGTTACCCAGCTTCACAGTCATAAACGTTACCACTGAGCTATCTGGGCTACGAATGACCTTCTGTAGGACTGAAATGTATTTACAATTGATTGATCACTGGGTGATGATCAATGTCATGTATATCAGGTCCTTCTTAGTGCAGATCGAATCCTATCGACCAAGTTGCAATATGGCCACCAGTCTATATATCAGTGACTCGACATTGCATGCACTATATTGAGATCCTAGGTCCAAGATTTCCTGTAAACTACCTGTAATCACCATCTTATCTCAAGATAAAAGCATGTATATTGATTGATCTAATACTCATAATCTTTGTATTGATAAAGCTTGATAAATGTAACTAATAATAAGATTAGATTAGAAACTATGGTTAAGCTGTATTTCTTTTTATTTCTTCATCAATAAGACAGGACAACGATTTTAACTGTGCTACACTCAACGACTGTAAATCAGCTTCCACAAGTGAATCGAGGCGATCAAACATATTAGACTAAAAATCCGGACTGTCTTTGTTTTCTTTAATCGTCCTAGTAACTATGGTTAAGATATATATATATATATATATATATATATATATATATATATATATATATATATATATATAGAATAGTTGAATTCATGAGCTAGACCACCATGGAAGCACTGGACAGCCGTTTCGCCCTAGTAGGGGACGGTGGCGTGACTTGATGGGTTGGTTGAAGTTAGACATTAACAAACACCGTTGGATGCCGGCTCAGTGGTCTAATGATTAAGCCCTCACGCGCGAGACCGATAAGTCCTAGGTTCGAATCTCGCTCGACGGGATCATGGATGGGCACTGCTGTGGAGTCCCGTAATAGGATGAAACGACTGTCCAGTTCTTCCAAGTTGGTCTAGATTTAATTGACTCATGAATTCAATTAATAAAAACTACTATAATGTCCACAAAAACCCTTCTCTGTTTATTATATATACAATATCCAGCTATCATGCAAACAAAAAGTGTAGATGTACACAGCTGTACAATAATTTCCGGTCTATAACTGTAATTTAAGTAATATCAAATTTATAGTGAATACTACTTTAAATAAGAATAATTATTACTAATGGGAATAGAGTAATTCACTTACTTATTCCAATGTTCTTTTGTACGATATAAAGCAGGAAACATTATAGGCAGAATTTCTTCAACATGATCATGCATTAATTGAAGGATATAATCATTACTCCAAAAGTATAATGCACGTTCTGCAACCTATAAAAGAAACAAAATAGACATTCATGTAATAGAAGAAGAGGAAATATATATATGGAAACAATAAACCAATGAAACATAAAAATGGAATAAAATCTTTTGATGAAGAATATACACTGAATTAAATCAGCAATCATTGAAACATCTTCACTACAGTTCTAACACATCGACTAGGAAGTACCGACAACGTATGAAGTTTGTAGTTAAATTGAAATATTGATATTACAATTTAGTGAGTTGATTGCAGTTGTTTCCTTTACTGAACAAATAGAGATTATAATGGTTGAGTTCATGAGTCAATTTAAGCTAAATCATCATGGAAAACCTGGAAGCACTGGACGGCCGTTTCGTCCTATTGTGGGACTCCTCAATAGTGCAAATCCACGATACCGCCTCGCGAGTTTCAAACGCAGTCTTGCGCGTGAGTGCTTAACCACTAGTCCATAGAGCCGGCAACTAACGGTGTTAATTGAGATTATCTGGAAAAATTAATAGTAGCTAACTGGCTACTTTTGTTCGACAATCACGAAAAGTTTTCTGAACAGAAATGATTGGAATCAAATGGCTCTACAGAAGTAGGTAGATTGGTGATGATGGACTTTTTACGAATTTAGACTTACAGGCTCAGAAATGCAACAACTAACAAAAAAAAAACATTAAACATAGTAATTTCCAATCCAACCCTTCCCTCAGGAATTGTCAAGACATAAAATCACCCCTGAGAATGATTATGAAAGGAAATAATGTGGTTTGTACAGAAGACTGAGAATTATATAAGGATTACTTATTGCGAATAAGAGCTTCACGTTTTGATGAGACTAAAATGCAGAAATGCTATTTTACAGATAATTCACAACACCGACCGTTCACAGTCCCTTACTTAGTCCCACTCACAGACAACATCATCTCACTACTGTCATGTATGCCGATTGCTTAACCCAGTGCGAACTTCATTCAGAAAGTGCGGTGCAAACACATTGAGTGGACAAGTGTCAAACAGACAGGATGAAACACACTCTACCCAACTCATCATCTCAACGTCTTACACTGACTAATTTTGCGATGCACACAGAAGTAGTAGTGTAACCAACGGGAACACAAGCAGGGGACAATCGAAAGTATTTGAACGCACAAAATTACAGAACATCTTAGTAAAATCTAAGAACCATACAGTAAATACCTCATTTACAAAATATCAATTGTTTCCTTTTGCAAACATCAGTGAATCGTGTCAGATTCCCTGAACTTTCTTTCATAGTGATAAAAGATAGTTATAGGATGGTGTGTATGTGTGTGATACTTATATTGACATGAGTAGTATATAACGACAGTCAGAATTAGAATATCTGGCAGTACGGTCATGAGTTAACTCTCCCTCTCCAAATGCTCTTACGTGGCCTCTGCCAGGGAAGTCTTACTCAATGCTTTTACACACCAGGAGTGTTGTTTACGAAATTGAGAGGACCAAAAGCGAATTTCCGGCGTTTTACGCGGGTTGGTAGACACGGTGAGTCCACATAGGGGAGTTGGAAAACCCTGATTCAAAACCGATGGTGCACATGGGCTGACTTCAGGATCCTGAGGGAACAAACGGCGTATGAACCACTCGTCGGTGACCGGATACCATTGAGCTGCATCTCCTTACGATGCTCCACTGCCTTGTGAATCAGACCTTTAGGTCAGAGGCCCAGGGTGTGGCCTCCTAAGTAAACCACCTGCTTTGGTTTAGGTACCCGGGTAGTATCACAGCCCTCACACAAATCAACTGAGATTTGTGTGGTGCATAATATTCGCTGCCCTTTTGTACCAATATTTATGTGTTCAAATAAGTAAATAAATAAATTTCTGGTAAAGAGTTGAGGTGATAAATTTTTTTACGAAGCTGCATAGATATACGCTAGATATTGTTATTTGTTTTTCCATCCTGGAAGTGTTTTACAGTGTGTTGTAGCCCCCTTGAAAAAAGTTTGTACGCAGTTGATTTTGTGAGTTATTGGGTTGTTACCTACTGTAGTTGAGAATTAGATATGTAGGTTGGCTTCCGCTATATTTGAATCTTCTGCTTTCCTGTGTCAGTTCTGGTGTTCAATACATTCAAGAATGACAGATTTTTGTTCAACGCTTTTTCCATTGTGAATTTAATGTCATCGAAGACGTAGGTATCTTCCAGACCGCACATTTTGATGACTGTCTCGACAACGGTAATCGAAACATCAAGCTGACGACACAGAGGACAAAAAAGAAACACCTCCTTTCAAAAAAAACTAACCAGGATTTCAAAAACCAACCTGTCAAAATAATCTGAATCGAACAAAGCTTAGTATACGACACTCTATCCCTGTTCCTCATCTCAAAGTACAGGAGGCACAGAAGTCAAAGCCTACTAGAACTAATCGATTTATGCTTAAAAACATATTTTCAATTCAACATCAAAACACCAGTGAGGTAGATCATCAATATCAGAACTTCTTCAGTAAGTCAGTGTAAACATGTACCAAGTTAACAGAAGTATTCGAAAGATGACGACATTTACAATTTCCTAGTCGGTAATAATTAAATATACTGAAAATACCAATATTTTTAACAGAAAGAAGCTAAAAACTTTATACTGAAAATTGAATACAGTTGTTAAGATCAAAATGATATTGAAATAGACGGTTTCGCTTTTTCTCATAGTGACAAATTTTTATCACTTTTCCACGGACAATTACAAAATTTCAAAGAAAAATCCTTTGAATATATGGAATCAGGTATGTTAATAGGTTAAGACTACTTGATTCAGGTTTGTGTGATTATCTTGATCAATCATTAGGAAGTTTGGATAATATGACTTTAAATTGATCATAATGGATTAGATGCATACAGTGTTTTATACGTTCATGTGAAATACTCTAAAATGCTATAGAAATTGATCTTTAATATTCCTTTTATAGACTATTATCGTTTTTTCTTTTTGTGGTGAACATGAACACGAGTAGGACAAACGAATGTATTTGAGTACAAAATGACAGAGCATCTTACTAAAATTTGAGAACCATATAGTGAATCGTTAATTTGCAAAATATCAATTCATTGTCTGAGATTTCATTGTTCATGCGTTTACATACTAATTGCGTTCCGTTTCTGTTCTTTCTTCATCGACTTTCTACTGAAATACATTCTATGCCTGACCACTGTTATATACTACTTATGTAGATATAAGTAACCCACACTAAATTTTCTGGCACACAATCCTATTATCCTTGCTAAAACTTGATTTTATTCCCGTACTGATTCAATATTTGACAATTTCAATATTAGTTAAGTGGATGAGATCACTTCAATCCTCCGCTTTTCTGATCAACTAACTTGAGTAATATATTCAACTTTTATAATAGAATTAAAAGTATATTTAAGTTATTAATCCATCATGCATCGGATTACAATAATTAAGATTTATGAATTGAGTAATTGTCATTAAATATAGAACATAGTTTAAAAAAAATCAATTCGACATTCATAAGTGTAATGTAATGAAAGTTGATCATGTATTCACTAAAAATCAATATTGATTTCCATCCATTATTCATTATATTTGGAAATTGAACATCACAACAACTTCTTTCCTCATCATCTTAATGTTCAGATGTGTAATGGAAACAAATATACTAACAGATAACTTTGTCAGGTTTATACACATTGCTTATGATTGATAAATGAATATGTCGTTCAATGTCGTGAATTAGTTGATGTTAGACAGTGCGAGACGGATAAGTCCGGACGCGCAGTGCTGAGGAGGCCCACAGTAGGACGAAATAGCCATCCAGTGTTTTTAGGTTTTCCATGGTGATCTAGCTTTAATTGACTCATGAATTTAACTACTAAATATACTATAATACCCATTAAACCCCTTCTGACAATATGTTATAATGCTGTTATTATAAGCTATCATTTCACTGATTAACCAATGTTATATCTGTTCTACCACTCTTAAATTATCGTATGTTAATTATAAACAGCGAGACTATAACTTGTGGACGAACCAATCAGGTGTAAGATAACAGGTCCCAGATATTGGTGCGAAATTCACTCATCCATTTGACTAAACAGATTCATGGCATTGTAGCTGATGTCACTTCGTGATGAAAACCCTAAGTGTAATTCCTAACCCTATTCGTCAAATGTAAATCATAATTATAATTCCTCACACTGGTTTATAACCCTCATTTGGTCTTAGTCATTAAATGGACATTCTCAAGGTTAGTCTAGCGTCGCTTAAAGGTTGTCCACAAATTATAGTCTCACTCGTTGTAACTAACTATAGGGTTTTAAAAAGAATAATATTCAGTTATGAACCATACAGATACACGGACCGAAATAAGTGTACTACATCAGTATGTTCAGATGAAATAAACACGAGGAATAGTGAATATATTAGAATGAAATACTGAAGTGAATAGCAAACAATAATATTTGAATTCGGAATCTGTAAAGAAGATAAATTAATGAAAGTATCTGTGCTATTTCTGTTTGTCTTTGAGATATATCACTATGGATTCTACATACTGAATACAACTTGAGTGAGAGAGCAACTAGACAATTTATACTAATTGAAATCAAGGCTCAAATAAACAGTAACTAACATAATAGACTAATGTCACATCTTGATTTGATGGCATAAGTTATAAATATGATCAATCTTATCTAACTCAGAATTAATAAATTGACGAATACTTTATACTTGTATATATAAACGTAACAATTGTTAACCGAATATGTGTTGTATGCTACTTATGACTGTCGACAGATATAAGTAGTATGTAACATCAATCAGAAGAGGAAGGCATGGCAGCAAAAGGCTATGAAGGTTGACTTGAAGAAAAACAGGAATGGAAATAGTTAATGAATCAAAAGAATCATACAGAATTTGCAATGGCGCAGGTGCATCCAACTCTTTATGTTCTCCCGAATTCTAATCGTCTGAATTCTTCATGTCCCGTCTTTTTTCCTTTTTCCAAATTTATTTCACTGGATTATACCCCTTAAATAACATCTACAAACCATAATCTTTACGATTACTACTTATACTTTTACTACCTCTACCACCATTATCAGATTTGAATCGACAACTGAAACTTTGTGCTAATGTGGTATGTCAACTCGAAATGATGTACGTACGAAGTTCTATGTTGTTACTGACTGACTGACCGATACAGAATTTCAAAGATAAATGATGGAATTTCGCAAATAAAGTATTCAATGTATGGTTGTTATATTTTACCAAGAGATTATGTAAATTGATACTTAAATATATTCGATTGACTCATTTTGTATTCTCATTGATTCCAATAATATTATTGATAACCAACTGAACAAGAAAAGCTTTTGTTTTAAAGGAATATTGAAAAATGATCAATTAATTACACATAGCAACTATTGAACAATCTAATTCACATTTCATAAACACAGAAACTATAATAGTAGTAGTAGTAGATAGTCTATTAGGGTGCTTGGTACCTTTGTGGTAGCGCTACAGGATTGAGCTATACTGTTCAGAATGTAGCGTTAAAGCCTATGCGGTATCTGGTTCTCCTGTGAGGTAGGAGTGAGCTGTATTGCTCAGGTTATAAAATTTCAGCCTGGATGGTGTCTGGTTCTCCTGGAACCAGGATTGAGCTGTACTATATAAGTTGTCACGTGAAAGTTTGGATGATCTCCGGTTCTCCTGAAAACCAATGTAAAACTAACCTGGCCCATAAGGGTATATTATATAACTAGTAATAATAATAATTTTTAACTCACTTGAAAATGAGGAGATGATACACATTTAGCTAATTGTGTAAAAAGTGGTCGAATAATTTTTCGAAATTCTGATGGATCAACAACATCAAGAATTTCTTCTAATTCATTTAAAAACATCACTTCTTTAGGACTATGAGTTTTTGGCCAAAATTTTAATAAACTAAGAACAACCTAAATGTTAATTTTAAAGGAAAGAAATAGAAATTTATAGAGGATGAAATAGTAAATATATATGTGATAAACATAGGAAAATATATTCTTTAATATGAATTTGCGAGAGATATAACATCATCTGCTAAACTGATTACTGTATTGCACTGAAATGTTTTGGTACAGTCGAAAATGGGGAGAGTCAGCTCTCCCTTTCCAAATGGTCACGTGCATACAACTACTGTCACGGAACTTCTAATCACTGCCTTCTCGCGGGATTATTGTTGTTTACGAAATTGAGAGAACGGAAAACGAACGTCTGACACTTTAAACCAGTTGTTGCACAAGAAGGGTCTACCTAGGGGAACTGGAAACCTTGATTCCAGATTAATGGTGCACATGGGCTAGCTCCAGAATCCTGAAGGAACAAATGGTGAACTTGTTGTTGGTGACCGGCTATTATGGGACTGCATCTCCTAACGTTGCTCCACTGCCTTGTGGATTAGACCTCTGTGTCAAAGGCTCGGTGAGTGACCCGTAAGAAAACCACTTGCTCCAGTTTGGGCGCCCAACCCTTTACAAATCGAATGATTTGGGTGGCGCATATCTATTTGATGCTTCCTTGTACCAATGTTTATGTGTTTAAATAAATAAATAATAAATAGGTAGGCAAAACATGCAGCGGATGTGACGTTATATTCGGAAAACGAAGTATTTATTTATTCTCTGAAGAAGTGACTTACACCAAGTCACGAAACGTCAGAAAATCTAATTTTCTACTCATTGGGATATTACAAATATATTATTTTTTATTTATTTAGACATATTTTGATTCATGATAACTTTGTCAAATATATGATGAGTGTGAATGATCTTTAAAGCGTCACAGCAACAATTATTGACATCACGATATAAAGAAAATAATAAAATAGTATAGGGCCATAATGAACGCCAATTAGAAACTCTTATGTCCGAAAAACTAAACGACGAAATCTCTATTTTATTCAAGACTAAAGAAATTTGAACGACAAACAACGATAATATACATCTACAAATATATTCCCGACCGCTACTGATACATTGAAGTGGTGGTTGGTTTGCTTGTCGTGATGAAGCAATCGAGCTATACTGGCTAGAACAATCGTTCTTCAAGGTCCTACCATGTCCGATAGGTCGGTTAAAGAGCGATAAGGGTAAAAGCAGCAAACCCAAGGTCTGAGGATGTCGTTGTACTGCTGACTGTACAGACATGTGACGGCAGTAAGGTGTTTCCTTAAGACAACCAGCATAACAGCGATGATGCCTTCCCAAAAAAGGGTAGGGTTAGTAAAAGTCGACCCTAAAGATACACACCTCATCTTATCCCATGGATATCTGTCTCCAGAGGTAAGGTTTCAATAAATACGGAGCTAACATGAAAATTCTTCACAAAAAGGTCGTATGTGACCGACCTTATGCAGTTGTCCCTTGGGTACGGCGGTCACACTCTCAGGTCATTAAAACCACCTTTAATCCGATTTCCTTTTCAAGTACCTCGAAAAGAACCCTTCCACGGTGTGGACAACCGGGAAATGATAATTATATGAATACTACAGAGTGTGATAAATTACAAAAATTGGCTGCTTTTAAAATGTCTTATTTCCTTATATCAAATTTCTATCACTATCTTTTATTATCTTGGATCAAACACATTGTTATTTATTCCTTGTGATCGTTGATAACTTATTTGAATGTATAAGAATAACAGGCTATAGATTAGTTCCAGTTAATGATCCAGTTTCAAAACAAAACAAAACAAAGAATTGCCCAATGGGTACAATATTGTATGTTAAAAACAGTTCTAATTAATGTGTATCCCTCTCTGTCTATATATATTAACATACTCATTTGCTAGATCATAAATCATTCAAAGTGATATATAATTGAAATTAATATAAATTAACTAACCTGTTGAGTAAGTGTTGGATCTTTTTCTAAAAATTGTATAACACAATAAGCTAATTGTGCATGATATATACTAACTGATTTAACTTTATGCAATGGAAGTAATACACGCATTAAAAATATCTTATGTTCTTCTTTTAATGGTAATGCAAATCCATTAATGATACTATATACCAAAAAGAAAAACCAAAAAAAAAACATAAGAACAGAATGTAGATAAGAGAAAATTACGAAACAACCAAGTGAGTACTATTGTAGTTAAATATAAGAGTACTAGGCTAAAAGTATAAATCTATGATGTTGACAAAATATTTCTTGAAAATTACTTCATACTGAAACATTGGCACTTTATACAATGTGCTATAATATTGGTAAAGTTTAAAAATTAAGCCCCCAAATGCCCTGGTACGGCCGAGAGTGGAGAGAGTCCGCTCTCGCTCTCCAAATGCTCTCACATGAACACGTGCATACAACCACCAATGCCACGGAAGTCCTACTCACTGGCGTCTAGCGGAATTAGTATTGTTTATGAAATTGAGAGATAGAAAAGTGAATGTCCGATACTTTAACCAGGTCGATGGACACGGTGAGTTCATCTAGGAAAGTTGAGAAACCCTGATTCCAAACCAATGGTGCAAATGGGCTGGCTCCCGTATCCTGACAGAACAAATAGCGTATGAACCTAATGTTGGTTACCGGCTAGCATGAGATTAGATCTTTAGGTAGAACGCTCCCGTTGTGACCCTCTGAGAAAACCATCTGCTTCGGTCTGGGCACCCGAGCAGTATCCCAGCCCTTACACAAATTGAATAATTTGTGTGGCGCATATCTATTGGGTGCCTCTTTGTACCAATATTTATATGTAGATATATAGTTTTTGTTTTGTTTTAATTTAACTTACACAAATGTTCAATATTACAATTATGAATAAGAATAATACAATATAGAAATAACAAGAAAATTAGACCGTTTAATATCATAATCAAAACTATTTCTTTAACCGATCTAGACATAGAATAGTATCATGTGATATGATCAGCTTAATAACAAATTAATTTATAAATAATATTAGTTGTTATGATAAGAGAAAACTTTATAACTATGGAAATAATTATGATAATTTGATCGACTATAGAAATATGATATAATATGAAGGAGAAGAAAAAGAAAAAGAAGAAAACAGTATTAAAGCTATCAGGACTCAATAGCTAAGTGGATAACATGATGGCGTTTGAAGCGAACAGTACTGGGTTCCAGTCCTGGAGTGAATATCAACTCTGGGATGAGGGTACATTCAGCTGACGAGTCCTAAATAGAATGGAACGCACGTCCTGGATTCCACTGCTAGCCACTATCCATCTTTGTTTAAAAAGCTTCTTGCATTATTTTGTGGATAATTTCGAAACAAGTGTCTGATAAATTGATTCTTGAATATATAGCACTGATCAAATTTCAGTAAAGTTATTTATTCGTATTAACCTTAAAGATGTGAAATTTGTGATTATTCAGTAGTAGGATCTGAATCTGAAAATCATCAGCCTTAATTATGAGTACTGTTAGAGTTGATTATCATAGTGTGATGTATGCTACTTATGTCAACATAAGTAGTATATAGTCTAATAGGAAGTGGAAACCCTGGTAGCAGAAGGCTATGAAGGTTGACTTCAAGAAAACACGAACGGAATTAGAAAGGAATTGCGAATCAGAAAAATCATACAGAATGTGAAAGATAAATGATAGAAACTTGCAAATGAAGTATTTGATGTGTGGCTTTCATATTTTACCAAGACATGCTGTAATTTTGTATTAAAATACATTCGATTATCTCCGCCTGTATTTTTGTTTGTTACAATAGGACATCAGTATTCTCAGTATGATGTTGGAACTTGATATGAGTAATGCTTCAGAGGAAAACGATGATTGTGCATAAAGTAACTTAAAATTCATCAATTTGTTGTGTACGCGATCTTTTATTGTCAGACAAATTACAGTAGTGTCAATGACAGTCAAAAATGACATAAGCTGTTTTGATTACTATTATATTTACATTGCTTTTATTTGTTACGATACCACACCACATGAAATCACACAAATACTCGAATGAACGAAACCCTCGACTATTTCCAAAGTTTTAACCCACAAAATAGATGCTACGATAGGCTCTTCCAAGTCTCGGATGAGTACTTTAAATGTTAGTATCGATTCGATATGTGGAGTAATCAAGATCACGAATAAAAGTATTTCAATACTATATTATTAGAAATAAATACATTCGTAAACAAATATAAATTCTCCCCCCCCCTTCAAGAAAAATACAGATGATTACATCATAGTATACAGATTACTCGTTAGGGATTCGATGGTCTATAAACCTTAGATAACAACATATCATGGATAAGAAATAAAGATAAAACATACCTGCCCAAAATTTCTAAAAGTTCAGCAATTCCATTATGAACTTCTGTTTCGTAAATGAACCTGACAAACCCAACAAAATGTATGCATATACGATGATAATAATAATATAGAAAGTATGTTCAAAACTACTGGATCAACAATTGATATAATATCGAATTGAAACGATCACGATTTTTAATTAAGGAAAACAAATCAAACACTTATTAAAGTATAGGGGTTGTGGAGATTGTTAAGTTTTGATTGAGATCATGAACCGATTGATGTTAGTTCTGGTGAGAAGCCGTCACCAGTGGAGCTAATCCGTGTCGGGTAGAAACAGGTATCTACCTTAGTACAATGGAAGATAGTCACGCAATTTCGTGGATTGGTTGAGGTTAGACATTAACACCATTGAATCCCGGCTCAGTGGTCCAGTTGGTTAAGCGTTCGCGCGCGAGAGTGAAGGCCCTGGGCTCGAATCCCACGAGCGAGACCGTGGATGCGCACTGCTGAGGAGTCCCACAATAGGACAGAACGGCCGTCCAGCGCTTCCAGTTTTTCAATGGTGGTCTAACATCAATCGGTTCATGATCTCAATCAAAACTCATTACACTTATGTAACATTCTACGGTAACCACTAAAGCCATTTATATGTTATGTAATTATAAAAAACGGTAGTCTCTTTATTCTTTATTCTGAACACTGAAATTTGTGTGTGATTTAGTGTGACAATAACCAAGTTGCCAAAACTGAAGTCGGTGTCACAGAATAACTAAGTCATATTTTTTAATCACTAAAACACTGGATAACTTCGCTTAGAGCTCTCTAGGGTTACTGACGGTTTTATGGGTGCGAAAATGAGGAAGGTTAGATGTAGGATTTGTCAGTCAGTCAGCAACATGAACACCGGATTCATAGAAGTAGTTATTTCAATGGTAGTAATATATAAAAGAAAGATTGTGTATAAGGATATAATACAGGAAGAAAGAATCAGTTCGTAGAAAGAAAGATATGAAGCGATTTTAATTTCATAGTGTAAAGGAAGACAAAGAGTGTATACACCGACGCCATTGTGATCGATTCTGAGCCACTGATATGTCCCGGCAAGAATAATGAATGGTAACTTTTGGGATCCATTTATGGACCAATATTAAACGTATATCTCTATTGTATAGTTATTAAGTAACTAAACTATGCATATTCATATTCCTCTTATTATAAGCTTTATTTTGACCTATAAACTATTTTTGTACGTTTTACCATTCTTGAGTTATACCCAGTATATTAATTACTACCTCCCTCATTCACAGCCACATCTGGCTAATTCTTGTACAAATGTTGTTTCAAATTTTATTGGTACGATGTGGTCTGTCTGATTGGTATATAAACCGAGTATGTTTAAAATATAAGGATTTATATTGCAGAGGCTGAGATTTGCGTTCTGGACTCAACTGGCTGGGCTAGGCGTAAAGCAGGACCAATTAGGACTCTAGGCTGCTCGTACGGGTTTTACACGTCATTGATCCGATCGATAATTCACTGCTCCCTAATTGGCGGTATCTATACTTATCCATTACCAGGGCACTCAGGTCACAAGTTATAACAGCCACTAAACAGATAAATCATTTACACATAATTCAAAATCTGACTGAGGATGTAAAGAGTCCTCATTATAAAGAGTTTTGACGCCTCATGGTGAAAGCCGAGATTCTTCAGAAATCACGGGGTAGATGCCTCCTCTGGCAATCAAAGCAACAATTTGTAGTTACGTGGAATTTCCGTTCAATGAAGGGGACTGACAGGGTCATCCAAATAGCACTAGGGATGAGAAGATGCAACCTGACTGGGCTTCGAATACGTGGAACTTATTGGACACAAACTGGATAAAAAAGATTAATTTCGGGAGAGGTTCTGTCGTGCTCCGGTCACGAAGCAGAAAATGCCCCTACACATGGGGAGCTGCATAAGAACAAAAGGTGCTATCGGGATAGGAAAATCATGGCACAAGAATGATTAAAGCATCCTTTGAGACAAAGAAGGATGGAATCATAATTATCATCACTATGCCAAGCACCTATCAACGATACCGGCGGGGACGATGATGATCAGTTATGTAAGAATTCGCAACTGATCCAAGAGGAATGGATAGGAAAAGACCTGACCATTCTATAGAGGACCTAAACGGCAAACTCAAAATGAACAACACCGGGTTTGAAGATATGATGGGATAACATAGAGAAGAATGTTGAGAGATTTAAAAATCTGTGTCTTCAACAACATGGTTAAAGGTAGGACTATATTTCCCGACAAATGCACACATAAAGCATTGGACATTTAGATAGATAGCATTGCAAAAGTTAAATACTGTCTTCTTTCAAGATGCTAACAAACCCAGATAAATTAAGGTTGCTCTCAGCAAATATTTCCGAACCCTACAAGATCTATTCAAAGATGATGAAATTATTACCAAGAACAACTGAAAAAAATATTAACGCTTGCTTGATCAGCAATCTGTAGTCTACATGAGGAGTAAGTAAGAAACCTAAATGAATAAACAGGACACTGATCAATATTATTATTTTGAAAAAATAAACTAACAAAATGTCCCATCGTTACACGTCGAAAGCATTACTCTATTTAAGCATGAGAATGATTTAGTAGGAAAACATAAAACTATACGTATGGAACAGAACCAAACGAAATACGATATATGCAAATTATATGGAGAAATAACTTCTACAGATTAAAGCATTTTAAGCAAAGATGGATGGTGGCTAGCAGTGGAATCCAGGACGCAAGTTTCATCCTATTTGAGACTCGTCATCTGGATGTACTTGCATCTCAGAGTTGGTGTTCACTCTGGGACTCGGACTAAATAGCTGAGTGGCGTTTGAAGAGAATAGGTCGTGTCCCAGAGTTAACATCAACTCTGAGATGCAGGTTCACCATCCAAATAGGACGAATCGCGCGTCAAACTGGATTCCACTGTTAGACACCATCTATCATTGCTTAAAAAGCGTTTGACTTAAGGCAATATTGAGCCAACACGCACAGTATGGATATATGCCAATAACAGACTGATCAATTGCAGTCCTAAACATCAATGGGAAGATTCAAGTAAACCAATACCAAGTGGATTAAAGCAACTTATATATTATTATCATTGTTGTTATTGATGATATCTTCATTATTAATCATAATAATGATAATAGTGATAAGTAATAAATTAATCTTACTTATAAAATATGTTACCAAATTGTTTACGGATAAATGCACGTAATCCAAGAAATTTCCCATATACACGATGTAAAATAGTTTTGACAAGATCACGTTCACGAGGATCTTCACTGTCGAATAATTCTAATAGCTGTGAAATAATAATAATAATAATAATAATAATAATAGAAAACTTTGTAGGAGAGGATGGAAAGAAGTATGTTCTTCAAATCGAAATGCTTTCGTATAAATTTGTTATGGAGGTCTCTAATACCGTGCATCCAACCTTAAAATTACTTACCTGGCGATCCTAGAAGATGCTGGCAATATTTCTAAAACATCTGTAATCAAATATTAATAACTTATGAGTATCCTCTACCCTTAATGACCAAGCTTCGCAGCCGCAAATTAAAACAGAACGAACTGCTTCGCAATATACCTGTCCTTTAATCTATAAACAGATATCTTTCCCTCGCCATAGGTGACGTAAGTTGGCAAAAGCCAAACGAGTTTTTCGAATCCATGCAGAGATGTAGTCAGATACCAACCCATTACAAATGGTCAGACTTCCAAAACAAGTGAAATTGTCGACGCATCTCACTACTTTACTCTTTATCCTTAGTTCAGATGTTGACTCAGACCAGTTCTGAAGCAACAGTTTGCATTTAGAAGAGAAGAAACGCATCTCAAACATCCTGACATTGTTGCTCAGTATATTACTATCACTTATTCGTAATAAATGTTACGATGCTTAGACCTTAGTGCTCATAGGGTTTTATTGGTCAAGATAGCAGTATGAGCATTAAACCAAGGGATCGGTCATCGTAGAGCATTTAGTTTAAAGTCACATGAATGGAATTAATTAAATTCTATATTTAAATGTTACAATGACTGGTACTCATCATTATTTAAAGTCTTAAAAAGACCAATACAGCCTCATACATACAAATACTCATTATCCAATATCGTATTTAGTGCATGTTATATCGCTCTTAATCATTTAAGTCTAGTGCTCAAGGAAACAGTAAACTTTTGTAGTATAAGAGTATCATGAATAAGAAAATGCTTTCCACAGAATGTTCCACAAAGCGTATTCCTCCTCGGAATAAGTCATTAACAGAATAATAACTACAACTCATATAAAAGTGCCACATACTCAAAAACGTAATATAACAACAAAAAGAAGCCTAATTATTATCATAATCTAACAGATTAGTAGGATATCTATTATGTTGTTATGTTTTATCTCTTTCTGACAATTATATGACTATTATCAGTATAGGGTTGTGGACATTATTAAATTATTGTTTGAGATCATAAACCGATTAATGTTAGACCACCATTGAAGATCTGAAAGAACTGGACGGCCATTTCGTCCTATTGTAGGACTCTCGGATGCGCACTGCTGAAGAGTCCTATGCCTACTTATAAGTAGGCGTATTTAAATCCATACAACAGACGATATATATATATAAACTGAGAAAAGATAATTAATATAACAATATAAGAAGACTAAGACCACCAGCTCGACAAAATAACTTATTATCAAACATTCATGTTAAAAAAAAATACAACTCAACATATGAAATATAAGTAGTATGCTATAGAAATGAATATCCGTACTGAATTCATGAACAGAACTTAAATCTGTCATAATGAAAACAATTATTTAGTGTACACTTGAAAGAACTATCACCTTTAAAGTATGTTTGACCATGTATTTTTTTTAACCCTGTCACACGCATGAAAGGCTTTAAATAAATGAACACCCAAGGAATTGTAGAAGAAAAACACCAATAGTATAGATTAAAATTATCAGCTGAAACGATGTGACAACAACAGCACAGTAGTACACAGAGTTAGTTTAACTCAGAGTAAATTGAAGCAGAAAATATTTTTTAAAAATCTCCGCTAAATACTTTCAGTTCAATTTTCACATGAATACAGTAAAATGAAAATTATAAAACGATAAAAACTTGTGATTTCTTGCATTTATAACTGGAAGTTAGGACGTTTTAAGAAATTTTATGGCTGAGATTAGACATCAACACTATTGGATGCCGACTCAGTGGTCTCAAGTTTAAGCATTCGCGTGTGAGACCGAAGGTTCGAATCGCGCGAGGCGGGATCGTAAATGAGCACTGTCCACTGAGGAGTCCCACAATAGAACGAAACAACCTTCCAGTGTTTTCAGGTTTTCAATCGACTCATGATCTCAATTAAAAATGTTACAAAGAAGTTCTCAAAATTCAATTGATAGCAATTTCGTCCACTATTTGATAGAAATCCAAGGAGATATACTTCTATATTCATCAGTAGATTAGCAAAAAATAACGAGTCACAATAGACAGATATTGAAGAAGAACACCTATCAATAAGCCAAAAATGATTCAATTTTAGGCTAATCCGAATTATGAACAATTTAAACCAGCAATAACGATTATCAATATGATGTGATTAAACAAATTAGGGTCAAAAATGTAGACATGTGATATAAATATTATCCTATACAGAACATTTAATAATATTCAATGTCAAATGGTAAAATAAAAGCAACACAGATGATTAAAAGAAAAAATGCTTCACTTCTATACGATGCTAATGATATTTACAATTGATTGATCACTGGGTGGTGATCGGATAGGATTATTTATTTAAACACATAAATATTGATACGAAAAGGCATCAAATAGATATACGCCACATAAATCATTCGATTTGTGTAAGGGCTGGGATACTGCCCAGGTGGCCAAACCGAAACAGATGGTTTTCTTAGAGGGCCACATCCGGAACCTTTGACGTAAAGGTCTGATTCACAAGGCAGTGGAGTGACGTCAGCAGATGCAGTCTCATAGTATCCGGTCACCAACAATAGGTTCATACCCCATTTGTCCCCTCAGGATCCTGAAGTCAGCTTATGTGCACCATTGATTTGGAATCAGAACGTCCACCAACCCGGTTAAAGCGCCAGACATTCGTTTTTCATCCTCTCAATTTCATAAACAACAGTAATTCTGCGAGAAGGCAACGAGTAGGACCTCCTTGTCAGTGGTTGTATGCACGTGTCCATGTGAGAGTATTTGTAGAGGGAGAGCTGATTTTCCCCACTCTCGACCATATCAGGGCATTTGGATGTGGTGATCAATGTCATATGTGTCAGGTCCTTCTTAGTACAGATCGAATCCTATCGATCAAGTTGCAATGTGACCACCAGTCTAGGAGACTCAACATTGCTAATAATAATTAGTAGAACTCAGTGAAAACTAATACCTTCAGGATCGTAAGAATAAAATATTCTATAATAAGTCATTGTTATTATAGTTCTATTTAGTTTATGATATATGAAAACTAACAAGAGAATTAGTTAAACAACTCGACATCGACGATGAGATAATGTAGTTGCCCTCCACATATTGGATATGATCACTAACATACCTCATTTACGCCAACGTGATTACTTAATTTCAATATCCAGATGTTATGATTTCAATTATTTTACAAGATATTATTTTCAAATAAGCCTTACTCATCATGTGTTCTAACAATTTACTGCGATTCAAGCATTATATACTGGTTTGTCTTTGAGTTATACTATATAAGAGGACTGGTAATATTACTACCGGACAATTTGGATAGAAACAAGGGAAGCTAGTTTGAAGCACCAATGGTAACTTAAAATTTCAATTTAATTACTTATTATGTAATTTTGCACAAAAGTCTAAGTACGAATCAAAAATTTAAACCGGAAGGAAATTTAATCAAATATTCTATCTATTGGGATATTAAAAAAGTAGCATCACTTTACTACAAATCACTCACCCAATGGTCAATTTATTTGAAATTATCAATCCAAACATTGATAATGATACATATAAATTGATTGAACCAGAAGGTTACGAAATAACAGAGAATTTTGAGGAGAGCCAGTTGTCCCTCTACAAATACTCTCACATGGACACGTGCATACAACCACTGACAAGGAGGTCCTACTCGTTGCCTTCTCACAGCATTACTGTTGTTTATGAAATTGAGAGAATGAAAAACGAATGTCTGACGCTTTAACCGGGTTGGTGGACGTCCTGATTCCAAATCAATGGTGCACATAAGCTGACTTCAGGATCCTGAGGGGACAAATGGGGTATGAACCTATTGTTGGTGACCGGATACTATGAGACTGCATCTGCTGATGTCACTCCACTGCCTTGTGAATCAGACCTTTACGTCAAAGGTTCCGGATGTGGCCCTCTAAGAAAACCATCTGTTTCGGTTTGGCCACCTGGGCAGTATCCCAGCCCTTACACAAATCGAATGATTTATGTGGCGTATATCTATTTAGTGCATTCTTGTACCAGTATTTATGTCAGAAGGGGTTTGTGGAGATTTTTAGAAATTTTCACAGATTCAAATCATGAGTCAGTTGAAGCTAGACCACCACTGAAAACCCGGAAGCACTGGACGTCGTTTCGTCCTAGTATGGGACCCCTCAGCAGTGCGCACCCACGATCCCGCACCACGCGGGGCTTGAACCCGGGACCTACTGGCTTCGCACTTAACCATTAGACCAATGGGCCCGCATCCAACGGTGTTAATGTCTAACTTCAACCAATCCACGAAGTTGCGCCACCATATACCATTGTCTTCAGTGAGCTGATATCTCACAACAGACCTGGTTGTACTCCACAAACCCGTTCTGATAATAATCATCTGCTCACTAGTGACTGACTTCAAGAGATACTCCTGGAGTTCTAGTGGGAAGCCAATATTTATGTGTTTAAATAAATAAACTTCAATTCCTTTAAAGTCCTACAAAACTCAATACTGTTGGCTTTATTTCTTTTTAGGCGGTTTAACTCATAAAGTACATTAATATACAACAAAATATCCTTTCTTATCTGAGCTTTTTTTAAGACGATAACTTATTCACTGTTATACTAGAAATGTGTATGACATTGAGTAACACCAATATATCAAAAAATAAGTCTATTAGGTGAACGATTTCATAATCCATATATATAATCATTAAACTAATTCTTTAACCTGAAATGAACTTTAATAGGCACTGATTACATGAATAAAATCGATTAGATGAAGGAATTAATCGAATAGTACATATGTTTAATTTATGCTGTGAATATTCATCGGATCAACTTA